ATAGGGTAGCATTTTTATTTTCTTTTTTAATATAAATTTTATTAATTGTTAATTTAATAATCAAATCTACATGAAGTATTATAAAATAAAGAAAAGTACTTAACAATTCTTTTTTTTTTTAACATAAGTCTTCACTAACTCTTTTTTCTACAATTGCTTAACTTGCAAAATTTTATTATATGGTTAATAAGTAAAATTTATAAGTAAAAGGGCTAAAAAGTTAATAATAGTATACTATGACTAAAATAAGAAACATAATATCTTATTGCAAAAACAAAAAAATATATATAATATTTTCATATGACTTGATTTCTATAAAATTCATATCTTTCTTGTTTAGTTCAGTATATGAAACAACACTTTTATTACTCTAATTGACTTTAATCTCATAAGTGAAGCTCTCTCCTTAACAAGTCAAAAAAAAAAAAAAATCATCCATTCATAGTCTATAAAGAAAAGAATGCATAAATTTTAAACAAATAAAGTTACAAAATTCTTTTAAAAAAACAGCATCATATGTTTTATAAAAAATTCAAAAAAAAAATAGTAATCTTTATTTCATACAACAATATATATATTTTGGACAAAGAGGGAAAAAGGCACAAGAAAATAAAAACATAATATTATATTTAGTTACAATGTAAAACATGAAAAAAAAAAAAAGAAAATATTTGGAACTCACCATATTAAGGAAAGAAATTGTAGTGATGAAGAGGAAAATATGACATATTAGTATAGAGAAGATGACCAACAATTAGAGGTGGGGAGGAAGATGGAAGAGCATAGAGAAAAATCATGGAAAAAAGATGTCATCAAAGATGATGAGAGGGAATGCATTTATACATTTAAACATTGACTCTTCATTTTGTTCATTTATGAGTTTTTAAATATTTAAACCTTTGATTTTTTATATTAAGATAATGTTGCTTCATCTGCCATTTATTCATCAATTATTTTTATCATTTACAATTTTCAATTATTTGCCTATCTATCATTTTTATTATCCTTTATAATTTTCATTTATTTCTTTTAATATTATATTTTCAATAAATGCATATCCTATTTAATGAAATTGAGTATAGACTTTGTATATGAATATTTTGTATACCCTATAATATTCATCTAAATTGTCTTCTGTTGATAAATTATTTGGCTATATATGGTCTGGCCTATTCGTCTACCCAGGGATTAATTTTTTCAGTTACGTATATTATATATTATTATCTTTTCAATATTAATAATTAATAATTATCATACTATAATATTCATTTAAATCATCTTCAATTGAGGAATTAATTGGCTATGTGGTCTTGCCTCTTCATCTACCAAATGATTAATTTTTTCAGTTACTTATATTATATATAAATTTAATTATTATTATTTTTATATATAAATGCATATCCTATTTAATGCATAGGGTAGCATTTTATATATAGATAGATAGATAGAGATAGATAAATAAATATACTTATAGTTGTCATATTATTAATTTTTTATTACCTTCTTTATATTAAGTTTTAAAACAATTACAACAATGGTTATAACTCATAACTTTATTATTGAGGATAAGCATGAAACCCAATATAAATAATAATTTAATTCATAATAATGTAACTTAAGAGGAGAGAAAATGAATAGTTTATTCATTACCAAATAAAGATAGTTTTATAATATGTCAAAGGTACCTTAAATTAAGGATTATATAAAAATTCTGTACGTAGCATGATTTTCTTTTATTAGTTTCTC